AGATCCTTAGGCCTCAAGCCCCTTCATAAATCTGTCAAGGTACTCCCGTCTCTTGCGAGTAATACGCTGGGGCTGGCATTCGGAGCCCAACAATCGAAGCTGGTCCTGACCGAAACTGCCACGAACTCTGCACATCCACGCCTGGACAACAGATGAGTGCACCATGCAATGAGACTGATGTACCCACCCACCCGCCAAGTGGACCCGCCCCCCTGTCGGAGGCCGAGAGAGCTCGCTCGAAATTCGATGAGGCGGCACGCATGGGGTGCCTCGCCAGGCGGTGCGGCCCGCCTGCGATGAGGATCTAAAACAGGTCGTACACTTCCGACCCTCGCTGTCGAGGGCATGGGCTGAGGCGAACACAGCGACGGCGGCAGGCCTCGGAGGGGGAGGAGGAGGGGGAGGAGGAGGAGGCTCCCCAGGATTGGACGGATCGTCAGGCAACTTCGTGGGATAAGACATCGCATCGAGAGTCGCCCTCATCAACCGCTCCCTCACTAAACAAGCCTTCCTCCCCACCTCCGCCACCCTTGCCCTCTGAGAGTCTGGAACGCGACATTGCTGTGCTGCAAAACCTGCCAACTCATCAGCCACGGTGTTGCCGATGCCTAGGTGAAAGGGAATACCACGATCATAATACTGCTGAGGATCGAGATGAGAGGGGACTTGGAGTACTGCAATTTCGGAGGGCGGCCTGACCTCCAGCAACTTACCAATTTCCCTCCAGATCGGTGCCAGAGAGCCTTCAGGGTGAAGATACGCCTTATCCCTCCAGCCCCTGACAACAGCTTCATTGTCGGAAACAAAGCAAACATACCCCTCCGAGTACCTGATCGTGATCTCCAGAGCACGAAGTTCCCCCAGCGGTACCGTCTGCTCATCCCCCACTAAGGGACCAGCTAAGCCTGGTCCCAAGACTAGAGGCTCGAAACTTCGAATGACGACCGCCGCGAGCCCGACCCTCCGAAGGTGTTCACTACGAGTGTCAGGCCCCCCCCGAGGCATCCCCAAACACGAGGAGGGGGGCGGACCAGGACCCAACACCCAGGAACCCAGGAACGAGGGACTCCGCTGGGGCGCCTAAGAGGTTCCAAGCCTCGACCTAAGCTGGCCGATCAACTCGAGTCCAAGATGCTGGAATGATACCCCGAAACCAGAAGCAAGGTGTCTGCTCCCCTTGCGCCGCTGCTTGGGTGCAAAGACAATATGTAGCCTCGTAGACTGGATTACCCGTATTGGCGGGACACAAATACAACCGATGAAGGGGGGTCTCATCATTCTCACGGCACCTGGGACATAAGGCACACTGAACAAGCCCCGCATCTGTTTGTCCGTGAGAGAGGCCACGAGCCACCCACAGCAACATTGAGAAGAACCTCTGCGAGCTGCTTACCCCCTTTTTTGACGCCCTGCAGCTCTTTAAGCAGGTGCCTAAGCGAGGTATTATCGGGACCCTGCGCAAGGCCTTCACCGCAAAAATGCCCACTAGCCTCTCGCCACTGAAGGCTGGCATTGGCTGCCGCAAAGTCGGCCATGAGCCCACGGGCCTGATCAAGAGCAACTAGATCAGTGTCCGAAAAAATCCAATCAGAATCCTCCCTATCGTTCGCGTGCGGCACGTGCCACGCATCAGGAGCCGAGGGAGTCCACCCCACCCGAAGGAGGTGAGCTATCAGGGCTGACATGGGACCCCGCACGTGCCTGGCATACTGAGAAGGAGGGAGGGCTTGGAACGGTTCAACGACTTTCGGCCACGCGCGACGGATGCCAGGCCGCAGATGGGGCTTGTGGATCCAAGTGCGAAGCCACTCCTTCAGGCAGGAAGCTGGGATGCTGATGCCAGGGTCATACCCAGGAGTGTGAATGTCAAGAAGAGTGGACAGGCACCTCCCCTTCTTGGTCGCCCCTGAAACAGCCCCCAGCCTCCTCCTAAGGGTAAGCAACTGATGCCCCAAACACCCGTACACAGCCATACCGTACGTCGAAGCCGCTTGGGGCCCCGCCAACTCCACCTTTTTGGTAACCATCTTCCGTTTGGAAGTCCGAGCAAAACTCCGTACTTTGTCATGTTGCGACTTGCCTTTGATGACCCTCTGCCTGCGAGTGGCTCTGGCGAGCCGCTTGCCTACGCCTATGTCCACCCCGAGGTAAGCAGTCCGGAGAACAGGCTGAACGACCATACCGACTTGCTTAAGAGCTTGGGCTGACTGCTTAGCAACACGATGAGACGAGCAGAGGATGACACTCTTGGGCGCCAGGGAGAGCTCTTGCTCCTGGAACAAACTGCCAGTAGCCGCGATGCTGGTGGACATCTCAACCTGCACCTGGCGCTCCGAACCTATGGACGTCATCTTGATATCATCAATCCAGATCCGCTCGCTCATAGAGGGGTTGGCCACCGTAAGCTTGTGCATTACGAAAAACGTCATACACCTCGCACACCTCGTCCCACTCCTCAAACCTTGAACGACGCTTCGGGTAGGTTGAAAACCTTCGGAGGAAGCGCCCAGCTGCGACAAAACACGTGGGGCCAGGCAGAGCTGAAGTTCCAAAAACAGCAACGTGGGAGGAAACCCGAGACGAAGGGCAGCAGCGACCAACTTCGGCCATTGGATATGATCGTGAAAACTCTGGATATCCAAAACAGCGGAACCCACAGTAGCCCCCAGTTTAACAGCGACCTCGCTCTCAAGCACACGAATGAAGGCTTCATGCAAGGCGCTGTTGCCTGAAACTGCGGCGTCCCATCCCGGGCACGATGTCGACGTCCAAGCCTTCGACACATGCTCTCTTGCAAGACTCCAGACACGGCACACCATAGATATTAGCCCAATAACCTTGTCCCCCCCAGACTTCTTAGCTAATAACCTCCCAATGACCAAAAGAGTCTGCCACGGCCAAGTGAGGCTATCCTCGATGGCAGAAAAAAGATCGATAAGCTCGCTGATGGCCCTGTCTGGAAGCCTCTCGAAATCGAGCGGGGTGAGCCTGTCGATGCCCATACCTGCGTTCGCACGCATCTTTCTCAGAGCAGCCCGAATATCGCAGATTTCCAACCTGGGATGGGCCTCGAACTGGGCCTCGGACCGAACGTCCGAAACCATGCCGAAAAGCTGGTCCTGGTCCAGGGAGTCCGAAGTCCAGAGGTTATGCCATTTCCGAACCTTGGAGTCGATCAAATCCTTGGGATTGAAGATCCTGACCCCCTCTTCGCTGATGAACTCGGCAGCTGGCTGCGGCGCCTGCCGTAAAGACCTGTGAATAGGACCGAGAGAAGCTTCGTCCACGATCCATTCCTTGAAACGTTGAAGGGAAGCATGCACGGCACGCCCACGAGCACGACTGGCAGAACGCTCAGCTTGGCTCCTAAGACTCCCAAGTAGGGGCGTATCTAACATCTCCAACTGCCCGAGGTACCTGACCCACTGATCCCAAGAAGTGGTGTTCACCCTGAGCTCTCCCGAGGCCCGTCGGGCGAACACTCTATCACGGGTAGAGACGACCGTATGAGCACCCACGGGAACATCGCTGACCAAAACTCTGCCCACTTGCGCAATATGCCGAATTTGCTCCTCCCCGTTGTGCCTCTGCCTATGTCGATGCAGCCTACAAACGATGACGTGAATGCGAGCCCACCAGCCTGCGACGACATCAGAAAGAGGTTGCGACCTAAGATGCTCAGCTCTCTGAACTACTTCGACAGACATAGCTGGACCTGAAGCGCGACTACGCCTTGCTAGAGGAATCCCATGATGACTAGCAATAGTAGCCTCCGCAGTGCAAACCCACGAAGAAAACATCCCACTGATGGCCTGGATGTATTCGCCCCCCATGCGATACGCCAAGGAATCCCTGATGACTGGCCAGACCTCTTCAGACTGACTGGTGCAGAACCCAACGCAGTCTCGCTGCTCTTGCCACGTGCTTTCTGGGATCCAGTAGTCGGGGAGAGAGGGGGAAGAGGGGGAACTGCCTACCGAGCCAGAGCACCCCTCAGGTTCCACTTGGCGAGCTGGGGGTCGGGGGGGCACTATTTTCCCGAGCGCAAGTGACCACACTAGAGCTAGGCCTGAAATCGGATTCGTGAGCCCAAGGGTCAGGTTCTTCGTCCTGCTCCTCAGGCTCCCCAAAATTGAAAGGGTCATTCTGGCTGCCGTCGCCCACGGTTTCGACGTCGGGGCCCAAATCATCACCCGAGCCAGAGACGACGTCCCCGAAAAACGACGAACGGGCAGTCTGAAACTTGTCCTGAAAAACCTGCCTCGCCTCCTGCTTAGCCTTCTTAGCCTTTTGAGACTTACTGTTGGGCTGGGGCAGGGCGGCCGGGCGTGAAATTTGTGGGAGTTTATGGGCAACGTGCAAAGACCGAGTAATGAGCTGTTTCCCGGCCGACCTGAGGGAGCTGCTGATGCCACAGTGGGTGACCCAGGGGACGTCTAGGACAGCCCTGACCTGACCTATGTACGGGCACGCAGCAGGGCTAGCGAGCACATAGTCAATGTGAGACTGACCCGTACCTGTGACGCACGTGTGCTGGACATCAGACTGGAAAATATACCCTTTGACTCGATCAACGAAGCCACACCTAGCTAACTCCCCTGGTGTCATGTTAAATTCACCTACAATCAACCACGGAAGCTGAAGTGACGACACGAAAGGAGGAGGAGGACGAAGAGGAGGAGGAGGAGGAGGAAGAGGAGGAGGAGGAGGAGGAGCAGGAGCAAGAAGAGGAAGAAGAGGAGCAGGAGGAGGAGCAGGACAAGGAGGAGGAGGAGGAGGAGGAGGAGGGGGAGGGGGAGGAGGAGGAGGAAGAGGAGGAGGAGGAGGAGGAGGAGGAGTAGACGGAGGAGGAACAGGAGGAGGAAGAGGAGGAGGAAAAGGAGGAGGAGGACAGGAGGAGCAGGAGGAGGAGGAGAAGCAGGAGCAGGAGGAGCAGGAGGATGATGAGCACGAGAAGGAGGAGGAACAGGAGGAGGCGTGTCTCTGGTCGGTCGCGCCAGGCGCGCGTCACCGGCCAGCAGTTGACGAGCTCGCAGGAGGTCAGCGAGATGCTCAGCTCTCAGCAGGACCCAGCGGTGGGAGGGATAACCACGAGCAAGGGCCCTCCTTCCCCCATCTCTTCTCCTCGCATGCTTCAGGGCCGGGCTCGAACCAGTCTTTCGTGGGCCGTGTTCGTTCCGACACCGTTTTGCAGCAGGGGCGGGCCAGAGACAAAACGAGGGAGCACGAAAACAAACACGACAACGAAAACCACTGTTTGGGCCGATCCCTGTCCTTTGTGTGTCCCCCTCAGGCCAGGGGGAAGGGGGGGTGGGCTCTCGCCCACTCCAACTGATGAGCCGTATGAGTACTGCGTGCTTTCCTCTCCCACCCATTGAAGAACTCCTAGATGGGGTCGGGGTAGATGAGGTCGAAGGATCGCGCCGTATCGCCGATGCACCAGTGATGCATCGCCGATGCGGCTCGATGTGGGGCACAATTTTCTCCACGCCGACCTCGCCGATGCATCACTGACGCCGTCAGTGCGTTGCCGATGCATCGCCGATGCATCGCCGATGTATCGGCGATGCGGCGCGATCCTCCGACACCATCTATTCGGACCCTATCTAGGAGGCTTCCACCCATGTCCCCCACCACATCTCCTTCCTTGCCCACAGGATTTCACAAATTGCGGGTTGTCCCCATGCGATCGTGTCTTCGGGCCGTTCTCGGTCCTGGAAGCATGGTGCTCCCGCTCCGGCGCTGGACGCAGTTTAGGTCAGTTTTTCGCTTTGCCCCTTGTCGTCCAGATTTGCGCTATCGGCCCAGCGCGGGCCCCATTTCTGGATCCGATGAGTTGTCGTTGGCGTCCACCTTCTTCTCCCCCTATTGCATTTTCCTTGTCGTCCTGCTCCGCATACTCCTCCTGCTCCTGCTGCTCATCCTCATCTTCCTTTGCTATCCTTTTTTCCTCCTGCGCATCACTTCCTCCTTGTCCTCATCCAGTGTACAAGACCCCCCTGTCTGATTCTGCATCGCACGATGGGGGCATTTGGGGGATCGAGGTTAGATAGAAGACCTGAGCTAGTGGATAGAAACTGCATCAGCGCAGTCAGAAGCGATTTGCGAAGGGACGGCCCGAACGCACGCAGCTTTCCCCTCCCCTCTTCTCCCGCCCCAAGAGGAGGGGAGGTTGTCAGATTCTTCTCCTCGCTTCCTCCTGGACTGGTGCGACTTTTGGGCGGACTCGGCGTCATCTCCCCTCTTTGCCGACCCTCTGGGCTCCCCACCAGCTCAGACTCCCTGCCGCCTCCAGCGAGGTGACCACACCGCAGGCATTCATTCGGGCAGGACGAGAGAAAGGGTGGATCAAGAAGGGGAGGGGTTTTCGGAGCGCCCTCCTCCTCCCCCTCCTCCTCCTCCTCCTCCTCCTCCTCCACCTCCCCTCTCCTCCTCCTCCTCCTCCTCCTCCTCCTCCTCCTCCTCCTCTCCTCCTCCTCCTCCTCCTCCTTCTCCTCCTCCTCCTCCTCCTCCTCCTCCTCCTCCTCCTCCTCCCCCTCCTCTCCTTCCTCCTCCTCCTCCTCCTCCCCCTCCTCCTCCTCCTCTCTCCTCCTCCTCCTCCTCCTCCTCCTCTCTCCCTCCTCCTCCCCCTCCTTCTCCTTCTCTTCCTCCTCCTCCTCCTCCTCCTCCTCCTCCTCCTCCTCCTCCTCCTCCTCCTCCTCCTCCTCTGTTCCTCCTCCTCCTCCCCCTGCGAGCGTGCCTACTCGCCCGCGCGCCGAACTGGCGCCTGGCCGCGGCTGCCTCGCTCGCGGGAGGCGGAGGCCCCCAGGAGCAACGCGGCGCTCCCTTCCAGAGGGAAGTGTGCTGCATGCAGGTGGCGCCCGTCCCGCCGCTGGGCGCCTCCCCCTCGGTGCGCTGGCGCCTCGGCCGCCAGGGGGGGGGGCGCCAGGGGAAGCGGCTGCGTGAGCTGATGCGCGGGCCCTCTCTCGGCTGCCTCGCACGCCCCGTTTCGCACCGTTGTCTCTCCTCGTCCTTCTCCTCCTCCTCCTCCTCCTCCTGCTTCTCCTCCTCCTCCTCCTCCTCCTGCTTCTCCTGTTTCTCCTCCTCCTCCTCCTCCTGTTTCTCCTCCTCCTCCTCCTCTGGGACAGGGAGGTATATAGAAAGGCTATCACCCCTGACGGCTGCTCATGGCGAGCGCTGGTCGTCCGTGCAGCGAGGCCCGCGTGCTGCCTAACTCACCTGGCTCCCGCGACTGCCTGTGCTATCCTGGTGATGAACGTCACGCGCTGCTTCTCACCACCCACCAAACCACCCCAACCCAACCCGAAGGCTCAGATTTACCCTCGATTTCCAGTTGGGGGGGGGTCGGGAAACATCGAAAAAACACGTGTGGAACCCTTACCCCTCCCAACCCGAAATTCGGGTCTTCGGGTTGGGTTGGGGTGGTCTGGTAGGTAGTCAGCTTCGCAACATGCCGTCGAAACGCCGCTCTCAGATGTGGTTGAAGCGAGCTGCCATCCAGCGGCGAAGGCGTTTGAGCCTAGGCCTCCCAGATGGAGTCGGAGTAGATCGGGCCGGAGGATCGCTCTGTGTCGTCGATGCATCGGTGATATGGCTGGCTGTGGAGCCCGATTTGTCCACGCCGGCGGCGCCGATGCATCGCCGAGGTCGGCGATGCATCGGCGAGGCATCGGCGAGGCATGGGCGAGGCGGCGCGCTGCCTCCGACCTCGGACCCCATCCAGGCGCCTCTGATGGGAACGACCTGGGGACTGGCTCGACGGGGGTGCCCGGTCCAGAGAGCTTGCAGGCAGGGGCCGGTCCTTGGATCTGCGTCTGGGAGCCGCTTCGTGGCCGAGGCCCGCCGGGGACACAGAGCCGCCCCCTGTCGCTCCTCCCTGCTGGCGCTGCCGCCCACGGGGGTCGGCGTGGCGTGGCAAGGGCCCCGCCGTGTGGCGCCAGCGACGCCCCGGGTCGCGAGAGAGGGGGGGATTCTGTAGCCTTTTGGGTCTACACCGTTGGCTTCGGAACGGCCCGAGGGGCGGCCACTTCCGTAAAACACGGTGCCCTCACTTTGTCGGGGGCCTCGGGGAGGGTGAGGGCACCGTGTTTTAGGGAAGTGGCCGCCCTTCTGGCCGCCCCAAGGCTCGCGGTGAAGGGTTTAGGCCCTTCCCCCTCCCTCCTCATGTCGGACGAGGGTGAATTCGTTCCAGAGGGTTCCGGAACTTTCCCAGAGCGCTCCTGGAACGCTCTGAGAAGGCCGCGGCGCCCGATGCATCTTTCAGAGCCGCTGGATCTCAGAGATTCTCGTTTGATCCTCACCCGATTTGATCCTCGTCCTGGTTCGTCGCATCTCTTCCTCTCTCCTACCCTTCGGTCGGGCATGTCCTCCTACAGGCGGATTGTGGACGAAAGTGACGAGAAAGCCACAACATACCCGAAAGTGGTCAGGAATAATCGAAGCGTCGCCCCCCAGACGAAGTTCTGACCATGCTTGAACACTGCTCCTGCAGCGAGACAGGCCCGACCTGATCCTGTACCCCCTCCTCTCCACCGGCCCTCCGGGGGCCGAGGAGCGGCACACCCGCACCGGCCGTGGCTGGGCAGAGCCGGGGCCCGGGCGGAGCCGGGCCGCAGCAGTTCTGCAGGTCGTCGGGGGCCTCGAGAGGCGGGGGGGTCCAGCGGGCGTCGGCCAGAGTGCCCGATGCTGCAGGAGCCTGCAGGGCCAGGGTCGCACCGACCCGGGTCTGGGCGCAGGACCCCGCAGGATTCTGCAGTATCTGGCGCATTGGCCCAGGCTTGTGCGCAGGATCTTGCAGGATTCTGCAATGCCTGACTGACCCGATGCATCTAGTTGGTGCCCTCCTGGAGGAGCCCGGGTCAGAAGATCCCCGATGCATCTAGTTGGTGCCCTCCTGGAGGAGCCCGCTCGATGACGACGACGATGACGATGACGATTACGATGACGACGACAATGCAGAGCGTCGGCTCGAGCGTCGGCTCGAGAGAGCTTGACAAACGAGTCGAGAGCCAGGTTCGCAGACCCCTGGCCGGGCCGACCGCCTTCCTGTCAGGCTGCGCCGAGACACGCGCAGCAGCACAGCACCAGAAATTGTCACCGTCGTCGTCGTCATCGTCGTCATCGTCATTGTCATCCGCACGCCCCGCGAGGACGACTTGATGCGGGAGGTGCTCGGCCAGAGAGCCAACGCCTCCCGCGGCTTCAGCGACCACGCAAGCTCTCGGGGCGCGCGCCCCACCGCCCCCGGCGGCCGCTCTCGGTTGCCCCGTGCTGGGCAGCCCGGGCGGTGCTTCGACCCACGCCGGATGTGCCACGCTCCGTCGACATGTGGTGAATCACCCTTGCGCCACGCGCCCATGGGAACGACCCGTTCCCCTGAGCGGCCTCGGCCCGCTTTTCCTCCTCTCTGCCGTCGCTTCGTGGTCTTCTCCTCCCTCCTTGCTTGGTGGCACGATTCGCTTCACGGCAGCCCCGTGTCGCTTCCTCGCCAGCGCCGTGGTTCTGCCTAGCCGCGGACGCAAAAAGAGCTGGGTCACCCCTCAGAGCGCGAGGATCTCGCGCTTCGCGCGACACGGAAGCCAGGCTGGAAAGCGGTTTTGCGCCGAGACGTGCTCGCGAGGTCGTTCGATGTATGTACAGTCGCGTCGGGGGTTGCGCTTGCGCAGAATCTCATCCATTCGCTTGGCCGTATCCGAGACCAACAGGGCTCGTTTCGAATCCTCCGATTCGATTCGATTCGACTCCGATGGATTCCGATCCCGATTCGATTCGATTTCGGATTCCGATTTGGGCTCCGATATCTCATTGGACGCATACTAGCCTGCCGATTTCCGCCGATTCGACTTTTCCCGACTCGGCTGCCGATTTCTGCCGATCCGACTTATTTCGATCGCCGATCCGACTTATCGATTCGATTCTGGGCTCCCCTGGACCAAGCGTGCAACAGCCACCGCGCAAATCTGCAGTGGGCATTCTGCGGGGCAGGCCTGCGAGCGTGAGGCGTTCCACAGCAGATGTACACCTGATATTTCGGGCGAAGGCCCGAGTGCCGTGGTGTGTCGATAAAAATGTATGTAGGTAGGTAGGTAGGTAGGTCGGTAGGCAGGTCGGTATGCAGGTCGGCAGGCAGGCAGGTAGGTAGTTAGGTAGCTAGGTCGGCACGTATGCATGATTGTATCTGTTTGTATGGGTATGTCTATGATCTTATTCCATATAGACGCGCGTCTGCCGTTGTAGAGCAGGTTTTCGAATTCCCAATGAGATTGTTCTTTTACCCTCTGGCGCGTATTTGTCGTTCCTCTCCCATGCAGCGGTGACGATCCGCCTCCCACACGCTGGTGCTCGCGCGCGCACTTCGGCGATCGCGGCGCACCCCCGTCCCGGCGAGCCTCACCCCGCCCAAGCCTTGCCGCTGCGAATCCGGAGGCCCCAGCCCCGCCCCACCGGGTAACGTCTGCTGCCAAAAATGACACAAGAACGCAATCCTGAGGAAAAAAAAAAGGATCGGGCAGTCTGGAGCATCAGAGGAGGGCGAGGTACGACAACGGTAGTTGGCCTTGGGGGGGCGGCTCGTCGAAAGGGCTGGGAGACGCTCGGGGCATTTCCGCGTTTGGACCTTGGGAGTGGCCAGGGCCGAATCTGTGTTGCCGTTGTCTCCTCTTTCGCCCTGCTTCGACGGCAAGAGAGCGAGAGGGCGGGGGCGGTACAGCGCAGGGGAACGTGAAAGCTGGCGGGGAGGCGGGATGGCAAGGGGTAGCTATTAGGGCACGGGGGGCCAGACCTCCGATGTCGTTGTGCTTTGGCTGCGTGGCTCCCCAGAGGCCTGGACTCCTTCCCGCGGACCTGCTTTTCATCATGGTTTTCTGCTGGCTGGCATCCACGGGGCCCCGTGAGGACCCCCAGTGGCCGAACGCGGGGAAACATGTTTCTCAGTGCTTTGTTCACGGCGGGGGGGACGTCAGGGGGTACATGGCAAGGGAGGCGTGCGGGGCGGGCAGGACGGCGGGGGGGGGATCAGAGGCAGGGGAGGGGGTCGACGCGACGGGGAGCGCCAGGTCTCCGGATGGCTCCAGCGGCTCTGATCTTCTGGAGGTCCCCAGATGCCTTCCCCAAAGAGGGCCATGAACGCACAGCAACATAGACCTTCCTCCTCGCCCCCACGCCAAAGAAGGCTCGATCGTGCGAGACATGTGGGCCGATGGCCCTCGCGACGGTCCAGTGACCCGGAGCCAGGCAGGAAACATGTCGGCCGTAGTTTGCGAGCCGCCAAATGTCCTTGGGCTCGATCGTTCACCTTCCATGATGGGGGAGGCCGCCCAAGTGGGGTTGGAATGGGCGTGCCCGGGTATCGCGCCGCGTCGCCTATGCGTCGGCATTGCGGCTCGATCGGGAAGACGATGTCAGAATTTTTGGCGTCGCCGACGCATCGAAGATGCATCGTCGATTCTCCTGCGGTGCGGTGCGATCCTCTGGCCTGTTAGCGCCGATTCGCGTCGAGTAGTTAGCGGTTGGTAATCAATCAGACGGCGCCGATTTAGCGTCGGCTAGCGTCAGTTGGCGCCGATGTAGCGTCGTTCACCGTGGATAGCGTCGACTGCCGTCAGCCAACAAGATGGTAAGGGTCGGGCGGGGCTGGGACGAGGGTAAATCCGTTCCAGAGCGTGCAAGAACGCTCTCAAAGCGTTCTGGAAGGCGCTGAGAAGGCCGCGGCGCACGAGACAGCCTCCAGAGCCGCTGGTTCTCCTTGATTCTCGTTTGATCCTCACCCGATTCAATCCTCGCCCTGGCTTCGTCTTAGTGCAGGTGAGGCTCCCATGAGTCAAGGGCGCCCTCGAGGGCGCGAAGGTATTCGCGCTTCGCGGTTTGGCAGCGGTACCTCCTCAACTTCCTCGCCTCCACTGGGGGGCGGCGCGAGAGCGCGGAGTTATTCGCGCTTCGCGCAGCGCGAAGCTCGAGGTCAGGCGCCCTTGATGAGCTGCCACCCCACAGGCGGCGGCCTCCAGAGATTACCTACTGATCGACGCAAGGAAAAACGGGGCCGTCTGCGCCGACATTGGCGCGTAAGCTGCTCGCGTAAGGTCGCGTGTAGGCGCTCTCGTCTCCAATGTGGCGCGCCGCGCCAGCGGCCCGCGTAAGCCGTCGCGTAAGGTCGCTGTGCCATCTCGCGTGGTAGCTAATGTTGTCTTTAGCGTCGACTGGCGTCGATTAGCGTCTGGGAGTGGATGAGACAGCGCCGATTTAGCGTCGGCCAGCGCCAATCAGCGTCGATTCAGCGTCGATCAGCGTCGATTCGGCGTCGACCAGCGCCGGTTCTTGAGATCCGACAGGATGGTGTGGGAGGCTTCCCATGCGCCGCCACCGACATCTCGCGCGGGACCCGCGGTTGATTAAGTCGGGCCTGTCCCTCTACAGGAGGAATATTTACAATTACCCCAGTGCGACCTTACCTAGAAGTTGGAGCCCCTAGGAAACCAGCATTAGTTGCTATGCTATGCCATACTATGATATGCCATGCTATGCTGCACTATGATATGCTATGCTATGCTATGCTATGATATGTTGCGCTATGCTATGCTATGCTATGCTACGCTATGCTATGCTAAGCTTTGCTATGTCATGCTGTGCTATGCTAAGCTATGTTATGCTATGTCATCCTAAGCTGCGCTATGTTATATTATGATATTGCATGATATGCTATGATATGTTATGCTGCGGTATGCTAGGCTATGATATGCTGGGCTATGCTATGTTATGCTATGCTATGCTATGCTAATGCAGCGCTGCGCTAAGCTAAGCTAAGCTAAGCTAACCCTCTAGGCAGAGCCTAGGTAGGGAATGCTATAGTGTGCTGCGCTATGCCATGCTATGACGGGCTATGCAATATGTTGTGCTGCGCTATGCTACGCTATGCTATGCTATGCTGTGCTCCGCTATGCTAAAGCTCAGCGAAGCTAAGATTTAGGTAAGCTAAGCTAAGATACACCTGATCTAAGATGAAGTTAAGCTAAGCTAGGATGACATAAGCTAAGCTAAGATGAGATAAGCAACGCTAAGCTAAGGGGACGTAACTGGGGGAACCGCGGGGCGGATACTGGGGGAACCGCCCGGGGTGGTGTGTGCATTGCCCGGCCCGTTTAAGAAAGAGAGTAAGAACCCTCTAGGCAGAGCCTAGGTAGGGAAATAGTAAAAAATAGTCAGGGGATGTCTTTTGGAGTATGTTGGAGTATCTCTTATCTTCCGTCGAAGCTCCCCCTGTAGGGGGACACGCCCGACTTCAGTGGTCGACCGTCGCCCCCCAAAGGCGGGGCCGCTTGGCCCCCCCCCTGGGCCCTCGGGCCGGGGCCGCCTCTTGGCCCTCGGGCCGCCGCGCGTGACGGGGTATAAGTAGGTAGTGGCGAGGCGTCCTGGCGTGCCTATATAGCCCTACCGAGCAATGTTATGAGAGCCTCTGTGGCTCCCACGAATTAGGGGAACAAGAAGTGGCATGAACATACCAACTCAGAGGTCCGCGCGGATTTCTTGGATCGGCGCTGGGGCCCCCCGGCGGCGCCTCCGGCGCCGCCCCTGGCGCGCTCCGCGCGCCAGGGAGGGGGGGTCCAGCGCCGATCCGAGAAATCCGGGCGGATCTCCGAGTTGTTTATGCTTATGTCACTTGTTGTGCCCCTGTTATTATGGTTTCCACGAGAGGTTCTTAGAACATTCCTGGTTGGGGCTGCCTTGTTTTATCACAGCGGGCTCATTGTCTAAGAAGATTGGTTTGGCTCTTAGAACATTTTTTGGGTTCGAAGAACATGTCGTGGTAGGACTACAGGAATGCCGGCCGGGACGGTCGGTCCTTGTTCAAGCCAAGTTTCCACCACCACCACCAGAGGTAGGACGGGGGAGAAGGGAGCGTGGGGAGGTCCTCCTCCTCCTCTTTCTTCTCCGCTCTCTCCTCCTCCTCGTGCTCCTCCTCCCTGTCCTCCCCCTGCTCCTCTCGTACGATTTTGCCGGGTCCTGCAGAGCCTGACTGACCCGTGTCTGGATTGACCCGAGTCAGTCGAACCCCGAAAATTCCATACACGTAAACGTTCGGTCGTGCGCGCTGATTTCCCGGATTCAAGAAATCCGCGCGGATTGTCGAATCTTTATGTTCATGCAGTTCGTTCTTTCTCTAGCCTGATCCTCGTCCTCGCTGCAGGCTAGAGAGGGCTGTCGTTCCAGCGGTAGCCGCTGATATGTATATACATGCGCATCCAAGGGGCAGTTGTTTCCTAGTCACACTTGAGGAATATTGGTTCGCATCGGTTATTGTCTTTCCTCTTCCCCCAGAAAGAAACTCCGGAAGCCTCCTGCGAGTTGATTCCTACCCCTCCTTACCAGCGAAGCCTCCATGAGGCCTCGCTGGAAGCCCTCACGCGAGGGCCTCAAGCGGTGCATTGACGTGTGGTGAGTCACTGGAGATTCGGGGTCACCGCGCGGTTTTAGGATTCGGGTCGTGCTCCGAACTCCGGCGACTGGGGCCTCCAGTGTCCAAAAACCGTGCGCTGACGGACCGGTGGAGAGGTCATCGGGGATGTCGAGGCCACCACACCTTGTCCGTCACATATCGTTATTGGGACCTCAGACTTCAAACGGTCAAGATGCGAATCAAATGCCGCATCTCGAACAACCAGCGCCCTAGACTTCAGACCCCATTTTCCTGCAGCGGTTTTCGAGCCGGATCGATCTGTGATGGGCCCGAAGCCCGGCGAACACGCTGGGTTCGAAAAATTGCAACGCCCGGATCTCAGGGGAGTTGCTTCCCAACAATATGTCCTTGCCAGCGAATCCTTGAGGAGGCCTCGCGGGAGCCCCTCACACTCCGAGGCCGGAGTTCGTCCAAGACCATTACCCCCCGGGGTATCGGTCTTCGGAGACCTCGGCAGGCGGTGGACATGGACAGATGCTTGTGCCCCTGTGGAGGGCGGAGAGATCCCGAAACTGCCGAGGCCCCCAAGAGGTCGACCCCCCCCGGCGGTGGTCGTGGATAGCTCCCCCCCCTCTCGGCACGCAGCCCTCGAGGGCCACGGGGGCCGCGTGCCCAGAGATCCGCTGGCCGGTCTTCCTGTTCCGTGCGGGGCCCCGGAGGTCCCGACCCCTTCCGCCAGGTCGGGCACGTCCTCCGACAGGCGGATTTTGCAAGGATGTCCTTGCAGAACAGAGCAGCCAGAAGATGCTCAAGCACGGCGGGAAGAGCACGAAGAACCGTCACCATATTCGTTATATTCATTCCTCCTGTCGAGGGACATGCCCGACTAAACCCTTCCTGGGGACCGGCCTTTCCTCTGGAGGCGTTGGCTTACGGTCGGGGGGGGGCCGGCGACGCATGGCGAGAAGCACCTGCGCGGATGCTGTGCAGAGCGTTGGGTCGCTGGGTCTCGGCGGCCAGCCCAGGGGCCGCCGTGTGACGCCGCAGGAAGAGGGGCGAGGGGGCCAGAGGGGAGCAGAAGGGGGCGAGAGGACCGGCGGGGGCGGAAGGGGAAGAGGAGGAGGAATCGGAGGAGGAGGAGGAGGAGGAGGAGGAGGAGGAAGAGGAGGAGAAGCAGGAGGAGGAGGAGGAAGAGGAGGAGGGGCAGGAGGGGGAGGGGAAGGAGGAGCACGGAAGAGGAGGAGAAGTCAGCGGGGACGGGCCTTCTCAGAGCTTCGCAGTATGTTGGGTCTTTTGGTGCCCGCGCAGGGCCGCGCGGCGGCCGCGCGCGCGAGCGCGCAGAGGTTCGGCTCCGACGACGACGTCGATGACGACGACGACGACGACGGCGACGTCGACGACGACGTCGACGCCGACGACGACGACGACGACGACGACGGCGACGACGGCGACGACGACGGCGGAGGCGGCGGCCCCCGCGGCCCCCGCGGCCCGCGCGGCCCGCGCGGATGCGCAGGCACCGCGTGGACGACGGGGAGCGGAGGCCGGCCGTGCGCGGCCAGTCCCGAGGGGGGAGGGTTACACTCAGGAGGGAAAGAAACACACAGACACAATTAATCAGCGATTCCCCAGAAAATATGGGAAAATATGGGAAGTGGGGGGAAAGACAAAAACCCAGAAAATATGGCAAAATATGGGGAAACTTTTTATTTGTGTGTATTTATTTGTGTGTCCCAGTTCCCCTTCATACACGCCGGTTGAAAGTAGGTATTTCTGGCATTGCCTACTTCAAGAATCGCCACGCTTTTGCTTTGTTTTGTTATTCTCTGGGGGGGGCCTGGTCCCAATCCACTTGATCCGCCTTCCTGATTCATGTTTTTCCCTACTTCTTCCGACCGACGTGTATGATGTTCCAACCTACTTTAGCCCTGACCGCCAGAAAGAACTTCGAGCACCAAGGAAGTACTGAAACTCGAGGGTTTCACGTGTCGGGCCCTGGGAGGCGGTACTCGTTCGACACCGTTGCGACTCTTTTTTCCTGAGTGCTCGGGATTCTTTCTCGGGTGTTGGCCTTACGTACGATGGGAACAACATAAGAGGAGGGTGGCGTTGGCAAGTTTTTTGGATGCTGCAGGATTGACGATTGCGTTCGAAGTGCTCCATTTCGTTGGCGCGGGATTCGAAAGAGAAACATTGACCTTGGCCCCCTGAGGCATTCTTGGACCTTCTTGGGGGCACCTTGGGTTGTCATGAGACCCTCTTGGGCCGTCTTCGGCGCCAGTGGTTTCCGCATTGGAGACATCGAGCCATTTGGGACGCCATTGGAGACATCGAGCCATTGGTGGCAGCCTCGGCCGTCTGGGAGGCCATTTGGGGCACCTGGGACGCCGCAGGGGGGCGCCAGGGACGCGTCTGGGCGCCCAGGATCCCTCTGAAGGGGGGGGGGGCGTTGCGCGCGAGGCAGCTTGATGAGAGGAGAGGAATCCTTCGAGAACGTACGTCAGCCCCACCAGACAGCGCTTGGCAGCCTACCACAGGCCGCGATGTGGCAAGGGGACACGGTGGCGGACCAATTTGAAGAGTTCAGCTCTCGCACAGAGGCACGCAATGAGGACTACCATAACTCCAATACGGGTGCACGTGCTGTGGGAGCGGCAATCACCAGGGGTTCAAGCCACAGGAGGGGGGCACGGTGGCGATCACGTTCCGCCTGCTCTTCCTTCCTCTCCTCCCTCCCCACTTCCGCCATGCCAAAGGAGGCCTGCCTCGTGTGCTAATCGGACTCTTGGGTGGTGCCGGGAGATGCCCATTGGATGTCCTTCTGTAGTGGCCGTCTGTAGGACGTCTTCTCCTCCAGCCACTCAGATCCATACGGCTCACGTTTCGCAGCCATCGGGGACATGGGGATCGACAGTTCTTTGCTCTGCTTTGCTTTGCTCCTCCTCCTCCTCCTCCTCCTCCTCCTCCTCATCATCATCATCATCATCATCATAATCATCATCATCACCCTTTTCGCACGCCTCCCGCCCCGCGAGAGCCCTCCTCGTCCTCATCCTCCTGCTCCTCCTCTTCTCCCTCTCCCCTCCCTCCCTTCCGCCCTCCTTCACTCCCTTCCCCCTCTGCTTCTCCCTCCCGCCTCCCTCCCTTCCGCCCCCCCCCCTTCCCCCTTGCCTCCTCCCCCCCGCCCCGCGAGACCAGCCGCCCGGCGCGCCCGCCCGGAGGCATGCGCGAGAGGGAGGCCCAGCACGTCCAGGAGATGTTGCCGTCCGCTTCCCCCCAGGAGGAGAGAGAGAGAGAGAGAGGGAGAGAGGCAGAGGCAGGGGGAGGGAGCGGAAGGGGGAGCGGGAGAGGGAGAGAGGGAGAGGGAGGGGGAGAGAGCGGAGAGAGCGCGAGAGGAGGAGGAGGAGG